CTCTTCAGCATCACTGCGTTTGCCGCAGGTGGATTGGCCTCACAGTCATGACAACAGCTGATTGCGCGCATGTTTTTCCACCCCACGTCATATAGACTGTGGCGGAATGCCGAAATGGGAGCCAATTGCTAGGCGCACCACTGTCCTAGCCACACCGAGGTATTTTTCGTTTGAGGTGAAATTACTTCCACCACGACATGCATACAAATACCGCATGAGGCATAAGTATTCACGTGGACCCTACCCTCACACTCGGAGCCTCTGGTAGAATGTGGAGTTGCATTTTTGAGGCACCAATTTTCGAGCGTGCCTACCTACTGCCCATATTTGCCTAGTGCTAGGAGCAAGCTTGACATTGAAGGTTGAACTACTTCCTCCTGCAAGGCGAATACGCCTTTCGCACACTCCTTGTTGCGACTGTTGCGACAAGTAACCGGATTCCTTCACCTCACTATTTGGACCACCACCGTGACCTCCACCACACCTCTTACTAGCATCAGTAGTGTGTGACACACGCAATGCTGTATTCGCAGCTTAAGAGTTTGTATCAGTTATTTGCAAGCGAACCCCCCTTCGGCATCTGAGGGCGACAAGAACGTGATCAAATGTGTCGTAACTGTTTATTTTTTTGGTGGGGAAAGGAAGAAGTTGAAGGCAGTTGTACTGTCACACTTCTACTGATTGTGCCGTTGTGCACTGCGAAGAAACGAGGTGAGACCAGAGCCTACACATCCGGCGCAGAGCAATTCGCACTTCCTCCCGTACCAGCCGTCAAGTCGCTTTGACGCCGACGCATTACCTTCTCCGTAAGCTCACAGATAACGTCAAAGGCGAATTGGCAAATCTCCTCGTCCGTAAAGAGGTGCACAATCGCTACGCGAATCACAAACACCTCCTCCATGTTTGGACGTGTGACTGTGGCTGTTACCAAATGAATGCGTCCATCCTCCGCGATCTCCTTGCTCAACTCCTTCGTCGCCTCGTTGTCATCCTAAGACCTCATGACAGCCAAAATGCCAGCACACCTTGACACGGAAGCAGACAAGTCCCAGCACAACATCGCACACAATTTCAAATCGCGAATCCGCTCTCAGCAACGCCTCCAAGTACTTCGCCATCCGAATGTGCTGCAATGCATGCGGAGCATGAACGCGTAAGTGCACCTCTTACCCCACGGATGTAACTCTGTAGTCCACTAACGCCGAACCTCCGAATCACGAACCAGAGTTTGAGGGAGCGAAATTTGCGTCCAAATGAGAGTTGCCAATTCTGGAAGGCAGGAGGAGAGCAGCAGCAAGTGGCGTGAAGTGAATAATGCAAAGTATCTTGCCTTATGCCTGTGCACAAATTATGCTACAATTGGTTCTCAGCAATTGGATGGCATC